GGGCTTTAATGTGATCAGCAATGATGAGTTGCATTCTGAAGGAAAGGAAATGCAGTGACAAACCCTCAGTTATTATGAGTCTGTGTGTTTAGCATAATAGTTTTCACAGGGAGGAATAACTTCTTGCACTTAAAAAAAAAAAAGCCTTTCTTACTTAGTATTTTTTTAATCGTCTCCAGTCCAAATATAAATCAATAAATCAAGAAGCCTTTAAAATGATAGAATTGCTTATCTTGTTTTCTGATAATAATAAAAAAAATTACAATTAAGTGAGTTTTTGCTTAAAAAAAGCTAAATTATCTGCCAATGGGGTAAGAAAAATAATCTTGTTTTCCATTCGAATTAAGATTATTTTTCTTACCCCATTGGCAGATTATTGAGCTGTTTTAAGCAAAAACTCACTTAATTAAACAAAATTATTATCCGAAAACAAGAAATAATTTCTTATGTCATTTTACTTCTCTAGTAAATGCATCTTGATTTAAGAATGTTTAGATATTTGGACTGAAAACAAGACAAAATACTAAGTAAGAAAAGCATGTTATGCAGTGTGCTCCTTCAGCAGTTCCTTGGCACGACCAAAGTCTTAAATCATATTGTGAGTCATTTGAATTATTGTAAAATCATGCTGCAGTATATATATAATCGCGTTTTTCCATTACACCACCCAGCCCTCACTGTAAAAATGATTATTGGAGTATGTTTTGCAAGAAAAAGGGTGAATTAAATTTGGACTCTACAGATAACTGGGGAAAATGCCCCAATAATCAGTCTTTCTACATATATTACTTGCTATTTCTTTTCAACTGAGGCTTTCAGCTTTACATTGATTATGTGTGTGTGTTTATTTCACTAGTGCATCTCCAGATCTTATTGGCTGTTGGTTTAGCCGTTCTCTGTTTCTGCCTGGTGATTGGCTGCACAATCTGCTGTCGGCATCGGAAATCCAATCCCACGAATGACAAGGAGGCGGAGCTATCCTCACCTCCTCTACTTGCGGATCATGTGACCCTGACTCTTAGCCCCGCCCCTTCCATCAACACTCATCCAATCAAACAGCAGTACGAGGAGCTTGACGGCGATGTCCTTGACTATCCCTCGTCTAACAGCAGCTCGACGCCTTCAGAAGGCCTTTCCTTCTCATCTCTTCCTCACGCCCCGAAGTCTCGTTTCAGTCTACGTCGACTCAGTTCCCCCGTCGTTTCATCAAAACATGCCGTTCGTGTTCGCTCCTCGCTTCCAAACATCACTAAACTCAGTCTGGCGGTGAAGTCGCAAAAACGCAATAATGACGTCTTGCATTCGGAAACCGACAGGCTTAATGGGAATAACAATCAACATTACGGCTCCAACTTTCACAAACACACACCATCCCTTCACTTCACTTTACTTTTCTCACCGGCAGAAGGAAAACTCACAGTCACAGTTCTGGGTCTCTATCGGGGTTCGAGGAAACTGAGTGGATCCTCGATCCGGGCCTGTTTGCCTCCGATCTTCCCGACGCCTACAGGCAGACTCGGCCTCGGTCTCGGTCCAGAAGTGATCCAGTTTCAGGTGAGATCGGTAGAGGAGCTCCAGGCCTGCACTCTCAGACTGACGGCTTCCAGCAGGGATTTCTCTGGTTTGAGGGAGACGGCTGTGGGAGAACTGGAACTGGCCTGTGCGGAGATTCACTGGGAACCCGATTCCACCGTCACCTTCAACTGTCAACTCAACACTGCGAGACGGAGGCCGAAGAAGGTACTTTGTCCCATAGATGGTCTGTTTGTGCTTTAACCTCACACAGACACACACTTTAAACTCGCCCACGAGCAGATCCGTTTCCTCGCTAGAGACGCGTTCAGTCTTTCCGCTGGCAAATTCCTCCATGTGAATAGCGAATCCGCCATGGCGCGAGCGCAACTGGATTTTAAAGGGAATGGGAGATGAGACTCTGATTGGTTTATTGCACGTTACGCCCAAAACACACCCATCACTCATTAAGAGAATAGAGACAAAACACACCCATCACTCATTAAGAGAATAGAGACAAAACACACCCATTACTTATTAAGAGAATAGAGACAAAACACACCCATCACTCATTAAGAGAATAGAGACAAAACACACCCATCACTCATTAAGAGAATAGGGACGAGCCTTTAGACCAGCGCCGGGAGCACCGACCATTTTTCCCGTCATTAAACTAGCAAAAGTGGATTCAGACACGCTTGTGCGCTTTAGACCATGAGCTTAGATCCTTAAAATAGGGCCCATACAGTGTGATAGAGTGACAAACATACAGTAGATGGATAGATAGATAGATAGATAGATAGATAGATAGATAGATAGATAGATGAATAGATAAATGATAAATAGATGGATAGATAGATAGTTAGAAAGATAGATGGATGAAACGATGAACAAATGTATGGATGAACGTACAGACGGATGGATTGATAAACAAACAGATAGATAGATAGATAGATAGATAGATAGATAGATAGATAGATAGATAGATAGACAGATATCTCTATATCATCAGCACAGAAACTCTGCAGAGCTGTTGCAGTGGGATCGAGGACTGCGTGACCAGTGTGTGTGTGTGTGTGTGTGTGTGTGTGTGTGGCCTGGAGCCAGTGCTGCGCCTCTGAGAGGAGATCAGGAATGCAGCACAGGAGGGAAAGAGAGGAGAGGAAAAACTGTGAATGATGGCTTTACAAAAAAAAAAGAGTTGCATAGTTTGAAAATTTGGGATGTTTGTAGAGAGAGATTTGTTTGATTGATGGATGGATGAACGGACAGATGGATAGACGGATGGATGGATGGACGGACAGATGGATAGACGGATGGATGGATGGACGGATGGATGGATAGACGGATGGATGGATGGACGGATGGATGGAGGAACAGACAGATGGATGGGTGGATGAATGGATGGACAGATGGATAGACGGATGGATGGATGGACGGACGGATGGAGGAACGGACAGATGGACGGACGGATGGATGGACAGATGGATAGACGGATGGATGGATGGACGGACAGATGGATAGACGGATGGATGGATGGACGGATGGATGGAGGAACAGACAGATGGATGGGTGGATGAATGGATGGACAGATGGATAGACGGATGGATGGATGGACGGACGGATGGAGGAACGGACAGATGGACGGACGGATGGATGGATGGACGGACGGATGGAGGAACGGATGGATGGATGGATGAATGGATGGACAGATGGATGGATGGATGGAGGAACGGACAGATGGATGGATGGATGGATGAATGGATGGACAGATGGATGGACGGACGGATGGATGGACGGATGGATAGACGGATGGAGGAACGGACAGATGGACGGACGGATGGAGGAACGGACAGATGGATGGATGAATGGATGGATGGACAGATGGACAGATGGATGGAGGAACGGACAGATGGATGGATGGATGGATGGGCAGATGGATAGACGGATGGATGGATGGACGGACGGATGGATAGACGGATGGATGGAGGAACGGACAGATGGATGGATGGATGGACGGATGGATGGATGGAGGAACGGACAGATGGATAGACGGATGGATGGATGGATGAATGAATGGAGGAACGGACAGATGGATGGATGGACAGATGGATGGAGAAACTTGAACAGATGGATGGATGGATAAATGGAGGAATGGACAGATGGATAAATGGAGGAATGGACAGATGGATGGACAGATGGATGGATAAATGGAGGAATGGACAGATGAATGGATGGATGGATGGATAAATGGAGGAATGGACAGATGGATGGAGGAACTTGAACAGATGGATGGACGGATGGATGGATGGATAAATGGAGGAATGGACAGATGGGTGGATGGATGGATAAATGGAGGAATGGGCAGATGGATGGAGGAACTTGAACAGATGGATGGACGGATGGATGGATGGATAAATGGAGGAATGGACAGATGGTTGGATGGATGGATAAATGGAGGAATGGACAGATGGATGGATGGATGGATAAATGGAGGAATGGGCAGATGGATGGAGGAACTTGAACAGATGGATGGACGGATGGATGGATGGATGGATAAATGGAGGAATGGACAGATGGTTGGATGGATGGATAAATGGAGGAATGGACAGATGGGTGGATGGATGGATAAATGGAGGAATGGACAGATGGGTGGATGGATGGATAAATGGAGGAATGGGCAGATGGATGGAGGAACTTGAACAGATGGATGGACGGATGGATGGACGGATGGATGGACGGACGGATGGATGGACGGATGGATAGACGGATGGAGGAACGGACAGATGGACGGACGGATGGATGGATGGATGAATGGATGGATGGACAGATGGACAGATGGATGGAGGAACGGACAGATGGATGGATGGATGGATGGGCAGATGGATAGACGGATGGATGGATGGACGGACGGATGGATAGACGGATGGATGGAGGAACGGACAGATGGATGGATGGATGGACGGATGGATGGATGGATGGAGGAACGGACAGATGGATAGACGGATGGATGGATGGATGAATGAATGGAGGAACGGACAGATGGATGGAGAAACTTGAACAGATGGATGGATGGATAAATGGAGGAATGGACAGATGGATAAATGGAGGAATGGACAGATGGATGGACAGATGGATGGATAAATGGAGGAATGGACAGATGAATGGATGGATGGATGGATAAATGGAGGAATGGACAGATGGATGGAGGAACTTGAACAGATGGATGGACGGATGGATGGATAAATGGAGGAATGGACAGATGGGTGGATGGATGGATAAATGGAGGAATGGGCAGATGGATGGAGGAACTTGAACAGATGGATGGACGGATGGATGGATAAATGGAGGAATGGACAGATGGTTGGATGGATGGATAAATGGAGGAATGGACAGATGGATGGAGGAACTTGAACAGATGGATGGACGGATGGATGGATGGATGGATGGATAAATGGAGGAATGGACAGATGGATGGATGGATGGAT